AGACATTGGCCCAGTTTCGAGACAGTAATGACCCCAAAAGTATTTTAGGTTATAGCTATATACATTACAAACCCATGTAGGTTTGTAAAATCCTTCCAAAAGTGTCATACAAGCTGATTTAGTTGGTTAATTTTTGTTAATGAAGGAAACATCCTATGCATGTTTAAACAGAAAAATGCTTACAGCTCTCAGCATTTTCCAGCCAATCATCCTATGAATGTTTTCTGTTCAAACATGCATAGGATTCCATGCTAAATTGGTTGATGTTGTTGATTTCCCAAAGGATCCATGCCCTTTAATGAGCTGGGCGCTTAATTCAGCTGTGGAGAATTTCCTCCACTAATGCCTACATTATCCACCATAGAATAGGGCAAATTAAACGTTCACTGCTGTGAAGTGGTGAAAGAAACATCTCCCAGCCAGAGTGAAATCTTGAAGAAAAGGATATGAGTCAGACTGAGCTTGATTTACTTTCTCTCTCCTTCAGATGTTCACCCTGGCTGTCTTCTCAAGAGTTTTTAGTTTAAAAAACAACCACTAAGCTATTAGTAAAACTCTTATCCTTTTGCATCAGTGATCAACCAGGAAAATGCTGGGCAGTTGCAATTGAATCCAGTGACTATGGAAGGAAGAACGGAGGTGGTATAATGAAGAAGACCAGAGGCGTGTCTTTCTTGCTTTTCTTCTTTCTGCTACAAGACTTCAGAATTTATATGAGTGAAATGTAATTTGCCACTTCGGTAGCAACCGCACCCGCGCAATACTGTGGAGAGCTGCTTTTATCTTCCCTCTACTGTAAACTGGAAAGGGTTGTGTGCAGCACTCATGTAATCTCTGCTCAGCTGATTGCTCACTTCACCACAGGATTATGTTGCTTGATTTCTTGGTGACTCCTGGAAAAATGGTAAGACGAGGATCCCTTAAGAAATTGTTCCGCTGTCTTTGAATCACTCTTCTCCATCCTGGTGCCCTCCAGATGTTTAGCAGTCTAGCTCCAGCCTTCCACAAACATTGGCTGTGCTGTTTGTGGCTTGTGGGAGTTTAAAATATCTGGATGTTGTCAAGCTGAGGAAAGCTGCTTTAGATGCTAATGGGCAGTAGCAACAGTGACGTGATGCCGTGCTATTTCAAACTAGGTAGGAGACTCCAACTGAAGTTTTATTTATGCATGTGCAGTTGTGCATAACTCTTGCACAACTCATTGGGCAATCGATTTTGCAGTCTGCTTGTGTAACTCATTGTGCAACAATAATGGGCCACCACTTGGGCAGGGGAAAGAGTCTGCGGAGATCCACTGGTGCTATTATACGTTGTGCAGTGACACAGTTGGATTCTGCCCAGCGGAAAAGATTTATCGGTTGACGACCCATTCACAAATGCATGCCATTGTCTGATGTAATGCAGTGAACATGTGAACTACAGGGCTGCCAGGAGTGGGGTGAGCAGTGCCTTTGATCTGTGGGATCAGCCACAGCAGAAGTGGCTGTGCAAGGTTGGAATTGGGCGTACGCTTCCCTGAATACTGGAATTGGCAAGGGTGGAATTGGCAACACCGCACTATACCAGATGAATTGGTGCTTGCAGAGCAAAATCGTAAGTTTGGAGGCCAACAAAACCAAATGGCAATTGGATGTTTCCAGCCATGTTGCCTGCCACCTGGGAAGCTTTTCTGCTGAAGGGTGGAGCATTAAATGTTAAATAAACAAATGAAAGCGGTATTTATTTTATTTTTATTTATTTATTTATTTATTTATTAAAAGCTTTTATATGCCGTCCTATTATATAAATATCTCAGGATGGGCTTTAAAAGGTAAGTTATCACAATTGATTGGGGAAGGAATATTGTCACCTGCGGCCCTGCTTCCCCAGTGTTGCGTCCTTCCAGTGTCTTGAAAAGCACTTCCCATGTTTACCTGGCGAAAGCTTCTTCATGAGGATTTGCTGGCTGGGTACTATGGGAGTTGTAGTCCAGTATATCTGGAGGGGACCAGTTTGGGAAATGCTGGCCTGTATTTACTCTACAGGATGTTATAGAAATGAAATAGAGCTTCTTCGTAACCATCCTCGCTATTTCAGTCACTCTGTGCTTTACTGAGCTGCACATCCCCTAAAACAGAGGAACCAGCCAGGGGATTTGGGGTTGAGGGCCACCTTTCTGGCAACAAATTCTCACGTTTCTTCCTAACTTGTTGGAAGCCACCATGCTTAGAGGCACTTGACCCTTTTGAGTGCCAGATGCTGAAGGAACGGCCATTTTCCTCACTCTCTCTTTGGGAAATGCCCAAAGCATTGGTTTGGTCCAGTTTTCTCCAATGTGGTGCCTTCCAGATCTGTCGGACCATATCTCTCATGGCTCCTAGCTGGTGTGGACACTGGGGGAAGCTAGTCCAGTCCAGCTTTGGAAACAGAACACTCTTGGCCATAAAATGCTGGAATGGGGAGCCCGCCTTGTGACCAGCCGAGCAGTTTTCATGCTTTCCGTAGACTAAACACATCTGCTTCCTCTACCATTCATTCAGATTTCATGAATACACAGGCAGGATATGTCACTTTTCTGCATGAGCCAAAAATATGGGGGGATATAATGTGACGTTTGTGCGCTCTCTCTCTCTCTCGCTCTCACTTTCTATGAAATAATGTAGCTTACTGTGGGGAGGAGAGTAATTGCTCTGAACTGGCTTGTACTGATGACCCTCCAATCCTTTGCATAGTGCAGAAATGCAATGTATATATGTTTAAACATAAATATATTATTTGTGTGTAGATGTGTAGAGCCAGTGCCTGCTCAAAAATCCCCCTACCCATCAGCCAAGGTTTTGTGATGCTATGGAATGTTCATGAATATTCCAACCTCTCTAGGAGGTCTAGGAGAGATAGGAAGCCTATTTGCCAGCATTCTCCTCTTTTTCCTAACCAGACTGAGTTAACCCAGCTGTAGAGCCAAACCAGACATTATGTTATTCATGCAATTAGTAAAGAAACTGATCTTTAAAAATAAATACCTGTGTATGTGTGGTGGGGGAAGGGGCTGCATCCCTTTGTCCCACATATGGCCCCAGTCTGGTTCTCCCTCCCACTAACCCCCCCTCCCGCTGCTTCTATTTGCTTCAGAAGAAAAACTCCCCCTGGCACCAGAAGCCAGTACAATCGGGATTGTGCCAAGTTGGTGACAGGGAGCATGTGAAGGAAGATCTGTGAAAGGAAGGAAAAATTGAGGACAGCCTCAGGGCAAGTTAACAGATTGCTGTTCCCCATTTCTTTATAATATTTACTGTATTAAACTTAAAAATAGCTTTTGCATTTGCATTCTTCCACATAATCTGGGTTGTGGCCCTTTGCCAAGGGCTGAACTTTCAAAGCCATTGTTATCTCTTTCACTCAAACTAGGGAATGTTGTCTGTGCAATTTCATTTCAGAGCTTCACTTAAATTTCCAGTAACTAATATACAGAATTACTACAATAAACAGTAAAATCAAGAGAGGGCCATAATCAAAAAAGGCTTACTTGGGACTGGTGTAAATTGCATAGTCAAAATTTTCATTTGGATTGTGGATGTGTATATTGGGAGGCAGTGCTAGTGGGTTTTTTCCCCTTAGTTGTTTAAATTGTTGACAAGCTTCAATAGGCAGTTTGCATTTAGAATATAATCCAGATGCATCCACAAGTGATGCTAAGTATACATCTTCCAGTACTTTTATTTTTTGTTAAAGTAGCACATAAAGAAGGAATTGGAAAGTTTAATTCAAAACAACAGTTTCTAGAAATATATGTATTTTTGGTTTTGTGTGTGGCCAGTTGTCTGTCTGTCTGTCTGTCTGTCTGTCTGTCTGTCTGTCTGTCTTTCTTTCTTTCTTTCTTTCTTTCTTTCTTTCTTTCTTTCTTTCTTTCTTTCAGTTTGGGTTTTTGGTGATACAAGCACATGGGCATCCAAGTTCTCCTTCTGGGAGAAACAGTCCCATCCTCATTAGGAAACAGAAAGCATTTTTAGAGAATTGGTAATGCCTGGATGTGACTTGTGTGGGCAGGCATGATGTTGTGCAGGCACAAGCAATGCTTGTACAGTTTTACTTGGGATTGTGGTCTGGCCAAGTATGAATGTCCTACACATTATTTCAGTGGGCTCTGTCCTTGTATAAAGTGGCTGTTCAAGAAAATGCTATGTATAACTAACTGAAATGCCGTAGAAGATGTCTGGAGATTAGTGGAAAACCATAATTTCCCGTTGCACACGAACCAGCCTTATGTTCGTTTTTGTCAACAGGCACTGAAGCCAATGAAAATGTTATTCAAAAGCACGCAGCTTGCAAGCAGCACTGATGGGGTGGACTTTGGGTTCACGCACTAAGGTCTCCCGAGTATTCTTTCAGCGTGAAGGTGCTTAACCTCAGGTGGTCCACAATTTCTGTTACACAGACCTGCTCTATTTAATTCTTTCCACTTTTAAAACCCAACCCAGAAAACATCTATAATTGAGAGGCCTACATAATGTTAGGGAAGATCAACTAACAGCATCTAAAGAAGGGGGAAGGGAGTTTGTATTCCAGTCAATCCACTGGTTTTTCCATTTAGTTTGGTACTGAGTCTTATCGCTACTAAAGTGTTTTGAGTTCTTCCCATGTCAGTGTTATTTGCCCCATGAGTTTACTGTGTGGACGTTCAAAATCCCTCAGGTTTCTTCTGTGTCACAACTGCATGGCAAGCTCCTTGTGTGAAGCCCTCTTCACATTGCACTGACGTATGTGACTTCATGCAATCCAGAACATCTGAATTGCTGAGAATTATGTACACGTCGGATGTCTCTTGAGGATTGCTTTAATTTCCAGCAGAGTTAAATATAATTCAGAAGACACAAACATGCTTCAACCCAGGAAAAAGGCTCTTTCCCCCCACATGTGTAGTTTGTCGATAAATAACTTTTCCTCTTTTCTCTTTTACATTCCCCTGTAGCCCCCCCTTCAATCTGCTACACTTCCAGTGCACCTGCCCAGATATTGGAAGAAACTGGCTATCTGAACTCTGGTCCACAGCTGTTTGGCAGCAAGCAAGATGGTTCCCTGTCCATGGTAGAAGTGGCCAGTGATACTGAAGGTGAGTTTTTGGGCTTGCAGGAGAGCTTAGCCTTTTCCAGCCTGGGGCCAGTGAGATGGGTTGGATCACATTTCCCATCATCTCCAGCCTCCTGGCCACTCTAGCTGCTTCCTTAATTGTTTCTAGGATGCTTGGAAGTTTTCTCCACATGGGCTATATAAAGAGGAACAGCCTATATAAAGAGAAGGGGGGAGTCATGGTTAGGGTATAAAGATTGAAGGAAATGGCTCAAAGGAATGCCATTTGCTTCCTGGCTTCTTCTTTCATGCAGTTCTCTCATTTTATGACATCCCCATGAGGTGGTTTAAGCGGAGAGATCACGAACATGTCCAAGGCCAGCCCCTGACTCTCGGGGTTGAACTGGGACTTGAACTCCGGTGAAAAGCTGTGGTCCTTAGCCATGCCTCCCTCTCTCTCCCGCTTCTTTTCCTCCTCCTCTTTCATCTCTTCTCATCTCTTGTCCTCTTCCTCTTTTTCTCCTGCTTTCCTTCATTCGTTCTCCTTTTTCTCTTCTGCCTCCCGCTCCTCCCCCCTCCTTTCTGTCCTCTTTCTTCTTCTGTATCTCTGCTCCTCCACCTCCTCCTCTTTTTCCTCTCCTCTTTCTCTGGTTCATCTCCTCCTCCTCCTCTTTCTCCTCTTCTTCCCTTCCTCTGCTTCATCTCCCCCTCCTCCCCCCCTCTTCCTCTTCTCTTTCTCTGCTTCATCTCCTCCTCTTGTCGTTCTTGTTTGTGATGAAGCTCCTTTTGTCTGTGTGCCTTTTTGCCCCAGCGGAAGACCTTCTCTGCAACTTGCACTCTCCAAGCTTCCTCCAGATCTCAGAGGTGGAAATGAGAGGTTCGGAGGATGTGACCCCTGGCACCGTGTTACAGCGGCTGATCCAGGAGCTGCAGTATGGCCACCCGACCGAGAACATGAGCCTGCTGGCCATCCAGCAGCAGGCCACGGGGAGTGCTGGACCAGCCAACGCCACGACCGGCACGCTCGCCTCTTCCACGGAGAACCTGGTGCCGGAAGACCCGCAAATGGTCCAGCAGTCGGCGCGCCAAGAACCGCAGGGCCAGGAGCACCAGGGCGACAGTGCTGCGATGGAGAAGCAGTCCCGGGCCGCCCCGCCTCAGCAGAACAGCGAGGAGCTGCCGACCTACGAGGAGGCCAAAGCCCAGTCCCAGTTTTTCAGGGGCCAGCAGCCTTCTGCCGTGGGCCCCGGCTTCTATGCGGCGGGAGGCTCCTGCCCAAAGGCTCGGACAGAAGGCAGGCCCACCCTGGCCCGTGCCAACAGTGGGCAGGCGCACCAGGACGAAGCCCTGAAGGAGCTGAAGCAGGGGCACGTGCGCTCCCTGAGCGAGAGGATCATGCAGCTCTCCTTGGAGCGGAACGGCGCGAAGCAGCACCCCCCCGCCGTGGGGAGAAGCAAGGGGCTCAAGGCAGGGGGGCCGCCCCCTGCCCCGAATGCCGGGAAGGGCATGGATCTGCGTGGGCCACCTCCGGACTACCCGTACAAGAGCAAGCAGGTGGTCTCTCCCGTGAGCAAAGCCCAGGAGCACGGGGGCTTCTTTAACGACCAGCATCCCGGAATGCTGCAGGAGGCGGGGAAGGCGCCCTACTCGGCTCCGCAGGCAGCCAGGAGCGAGGTGGCTGTTGTGCGGTATCAGCCTCCCCCAGAATATGGGGTGACCAGGTAAGCTCTGGGGTTACGGAAAGCTTTCAAGGGCAAAGCGGGACATTGGTGGGCTTGCAGCAAAGGCCGTGTGGCGACTCGGTTGTTCCCTGCATGAATTTCCTGCTCCTTATGCCAAGCAGCATTTCCCTGGGCTGAGAAACCTCAGGCCTGGGTCCAAACCCAGCCCTCTTGGGTTCCAGGCATGTTCTCCAGAGCTCCTCGGGTATGGTTCCCATGCCCATCTGCTGGCCGCGCTCCTTTTGGGAGATCTCTTGGCTTCTGTGCAGGTTCCCCTATTCTAAAGCTCGGAAGGCATCTCTTGGCCCCCGCCCTTTTGTATTTTTAGCCTTGCCCCCTTTGCCTTTCACTCCACTTGCCACTGGAATGACAGGGAGCCAGTGTGATCTGGTGGTTAAGAGCACTGGCCTGGGATTTGGGAGACCCGAGTTCTAGTCCTCACTTGATCCTGAAGCTGCCTGGGAGACCTCGGGCCAGTCACAGACTCTCAGCCTAACCTACCTCACAAGGTTGTTGTTGTGTGGGCAAAATGGAGAGAGGAGGAATGCCTGCACGAGGAAGACCTTGCATCCATGCACTATAATGACCAGGGTGACCCATGGGAATCGCTCTGCAGTGGAATCTGGTCTCTGGGCGAAAAGAGGCTTCCCACCCCTGCCCTACCTGACGTGGTACCTCTGCATCTGTGAAAAGCATGCCTGGAGGAGGACGGTCGCTGGGAGGAGAGCGATGCTGGACATCTGCGGGAAGCCACTGGGGGAGGCATCCGAAGGCTTGGGCTGAAGCGTAGCGTGTTCTGCCTCTGTTTCCCTTTGCTCTGCCTAGCAGGGCCATGGGATCCCTGAGGCAGTTATGGGATGGAGGACCACAAAGAAGCTGGGTCCAGATTAGAGAGCAGCCTTGTGGAGGAGAAAGAGACTGGGATGGAGGGGGGGGGGTTGCCACTTTTTTTGCCCGACAGAACAGCTCCGCAGCAAGGGGGTCCTCCAGGGTCTGGTGCTGTTGATGAAGATGCGGGCAGCGTCTGTTCTTTTATCTGTTCCCATGGATTCTCCAGCTGCAGCTACTCAGAGTACACGGATGTTGCCCCAGGCATTTATGCTTTGCTGGCATCCAGGTTAGACTACCAGAATGGAACCAGCTGCCTGGAGAGTTGGTGGGCTCTCCCACACTGGAGACATTCAAAAGGAAACCAGACAGCCATCTGAGTGGGACGGGGTAACGTGGTGTCCTGCACAGCAGGGGGTTGGACCTGATGGCCTTCATGGCCCCTTCCAGCTGAACTGTTGTATGATTCTATGAATGCCTTCTCCAGAGGCAGTTCGAAAGCCACAGCTGGTGCAGAATGCAGCTCCACACCTATTTGAGAGAGCCAAGCATCCGGCCCTCAAGACCAGCTGCACTGCTTGTCGGTGTGTTTATCTTTGCCAGTCTGGATGTTAAGGCCTATGTCTCAAGTTTTAATGTATTTCCTTTTAAATTATTATATTGTTTTAAGATGCATTTATGCTAGTTCCATATGATTGTAAACCTCTTCAAAGAGGTGGTTGACCTAGAAAAGTGGAATATACTTGTTTCAGTAAGTGAAAGGAAAGGCGGTCCATTCTGCCTGCCTGGTCTGGAGCAGAGAAAGCGTAGAGCGCATTTGTGGGGCCACTCAAAATTTAAGCAAGGCAGAGGGCTTGTTTCCTTCGATACTTTCTAGCTTCCATGCACTCATCCCTGAACTGAGAGGAACAGCTCCATGGTGTTTTGCAGAATTACAGGGGTCACCCTGGATGGCCTTTGAGGCCCCTTCCAGCTCTATGATTTTGTAGCAGCTGTGCCCATGCTGGCTGGGGATGGTGGGAGTTTCAGTCCAACACACCTGGAAGGCATTGAGTTGGGGAAAGCTGTTCTGTATCATGGGAAATGGCTCGTTTCTAAGCTGTTGTGTGTTCCCACTGTGTAGGAAATGGCGTTCACATTCCATCCAATCAGCACATGGTTTGAATCTCTGTCAATAACCTTTTGGGAGCTTGTGTGTATTTTTCCAGCCAGAAAATTATGGGTTTCAAAGGAATCGTGAAAACCTCTGTTTATGTAAGTGAGGTGGTGACAAGAGAACGGAAAGCAAAAGGAAAATGGGGTCAGATTCCGGTTATTGTCTCAGGAAGTTGTAAAGGAATTCTATCAGCAAGGCTCCTTCTAGCCTGAGGCTTTTCCAGGTGTGAAGCAGGACACACTCAAGTTGTGCTCAGGATATGCATTCCCCTTGTAGCCTAAGACCAAAGAGACCAGGATGCCAGGAGGAAATTACTAATTTGGTTATCTGTGGGTTTAAGGAAAGAATAGATAAAAGGATTAGGTCTAGCACATGATTTGCATCTGGCAGAAAGACCTGGTATCAGTCTCAAGCATCACCAGGTCGAAGGATCTGAAATTATGGGAAATTCCTCATCCTGAGAAGCCAGTGTAGATAATTCTGGATGAGATGGACAAAGAGCCCAAGGCAGTTTATTATTTACTAAACTAGTATCTCCCGACTAATAGTCCCATAGGACTCTCTAGGCAGTTTACAGCACAACCATTAACAGCAATAAAAGAGTAGGGCAATAAAAATCAGTACAGCAAGAATAATAGCAATAACAAAATAAAAAAAAGCAGGGAACGTTCTTGAAGAAGTGCTCTTTGCAAGACTGGATATTGGCAGGACGATTCTCCTGGCTGGAAGGATGTGTGTAGTCTAAAATCAGCTGCTACCAGGAGGGTGTGTTGCACTCCTTGTATAGACAAACTGATGCACTGCATGCAGCACAGTTTATACACAGTGAGAAGGAAACACTTCAAAGAGAAGCCCAGGACAAATGAGGTTTGTAAACAGGGGAGGAAGGGTTATTCATCCTGTAGATCAGGCACGTATCCAAAGAAGAAACACAGAGAAGGTTTTCTGGAAGAATTATTTAGATGTCTACTTCCCTACCAGCTATGCAGAATAAGGTCTGCTTGGGTGCAGTCTATGCATGTTTAGACAGGAAAAGGGTCTGTGATGCCTAGCAGACCCCAGCGGGCCATGTCAGGACTGCCTAGCTTCTGGCCCAGGATTGGGTTGCTTCCTACTTGCATTCATAGTTTACTTTGTCTTTTCTGAGCTCCAGGTCGGGCTATGTGAATGCTGCAGTTCCAGGCAGGAATGCCAAAACAAACAAAACAAAAAGCAGAATTTGATTTCTCCGAGTCTTTGCTTTTAATTACAGAAAAGAAAAGGAGTCAAGTTGCCAGCCCTTATTGCTGCAATTCTTGCTGAAATCTCAGCAGCGACCAGAGTAGATACTGAAGTTTTTCTACCTGTTGATAAAATTGTGTACTTCTGGATGCACAATTTCAGAGACAGGGAGAGAGAATCACTTCCCGTCTTTATATTGTGTCCTCCTGCCAATTAAAATGCACTCTAATTGCATGCCACTGCCTTTGTTCATATTCATCCCTTCTTGTTGGCCCCCTCCATTTCCTTCCTCCAGCCCTTTCTTTTTTCTTCCACTGCTGCATGTTAGCTTGTCAGATCCTAGGGGAATCTCTCTCTGTCAGTCTCTGTCTCCAGTTTATGCTAGTCCACAAAGCTGAGTATACCTCCTTTACCTGCCCAGACCTTAGGTCATATTTGGAGGCCCACCTCCAGGTGCCTACATCAAATGAAGTGAAACAGGTAGCCACAGAGGAGGGAGGCTTTTCAGTGGTGGCACCTTGGTTGCAGAATGCCCTCTCCAGGGTGGCTTGCTTGGCACCTCCATTAGAACCCTTTCAGTGCCAGATGAAACCCTATTTTGCCAACCATTATAGTCTTTCTGGATTTTTTAAAAATGAATTGTTCTTACGTGGCTGTTGCTGCCTTTATATCCCAGTTTTTCCTCTTGCAAGGAGCCCGAGGGGGCTTCCACAGTCTTCTTCCTCTTCATTTTATCCTCGTGTGAGGTAGGATAGGCTGAGAATCCATGACTAGTCCGAAGTCATCCAGTGAGCCTTGTGACTGAATGGGGACTAGGACCTGGATCTCTTGAATTGCAGTCCAGTTGTGGTGCTGGCAGAGATCCTGCTAGTCCCTTGGACTGCTAAGAGATCAAACCAGTCAGTCCTAGAGGAGATCAACCCTGACTGCTCCTTAGAAGGCCAGATCCTGAAGATGAAGCTCAAATACTTTGCCCACCTAATGAGAACGAAGGACTCCCTGGAGAAGAGCCTAATTCTGGGAACAGTTGATGGCAAAAAGAGAAGGGGACGGCAGAGGATGAGGTGGCTGGATGGAGTCACTGGAGCAGTGGGTGTGAGCTTAGGTGGACTCCGGGGGATGGTGGAGGACAGGAAGGCCTGGAGGAATGTTGTCCATGGGGTCGTGATGGGTTGGGCATGTCTTTGCAACTAAAGAACAACAACTAACCATTGGATCATGCTGGCTCTCTTCTTAATGTTTTCATATGATGCTGTGTCATGCTATTGTCTTTTACAATTCCAGTTCATTTCTGTGAATTGGCAGAGAGATTTGGATATTCTGCATGATAGAAACAAACAAACAAACAAATGCATTCTAAAGCACTGTAGAATATAGTGACTATACCTAGCTGATTATCCCCACACTGTTCTTCACCTACCTGCCTGAAAGCGACTGCTGCAGCTAATCTTTATCCCTCCTTCCCGCTTTCCCCCACACCTAGCCGCCAGTGCCAGCCGTCGTTTCTGGCGATGCCCACACCGCAGCCGCACAGCCCCATGTCCTCGCAGGCCTCCTCTCTCAGCGGCCCAGCGCACTTGGCAGCTCTGGCACCCCTCCCGATGGCCACGGCATCCCAGTCTCTGCCCGCGACCCCTCCGAACCAGCCGCCGCAGCTCCCTCCAGACGCATTTACCATAGTGCAGCGTGCCCAGCAGATGGTGGAGATGCTGTCGGAAGATAACGAGGCCCTGCAGAAGGAGCTGGAGGGCTACTACGAGAAGGCGGACAAGCTGCAGAAGGTGTGCGCCGTGCTCGGGTGGGGTGGCCTGAGCTTGCTGCAGCTCAGTGGGCTCAGCACATGCTTTAGTGTGTCCACGGTCCCCAGTTTGCACCTTGTGAAAGAGCTCTGCAAGAAAGCCCAGATAGCCTCTGCCAGGCTGTATGGACTGCAGTGACTAATGATTGATTGATTGATTGATTGATTGATTGAAAACATTTTTATGCCGCCCCCATTGCAACGAAGCCTTGGGGCAGCTCACAACAGAAACAGAATACCTAAATAAATAAGAATATAACAATAAAAAAATCTATATAAAAACCTCCGGTGCATCTCGGCTAAAAATTTAAAATCCTATAAATAAAAATAATTTAACAATTAAAATAAGTTTTAAATAAAAGGGTCTTAGCCTGGCGCCAAAAAAACAAATAACGACGGCACCAGGCGGACCTCTTTGGGGAGCGCATTCCATAGATGGGGCACCACCGCAGAGAAAGCCCTCCTCCGGGTACTCACCCTCCTAATATCATTCACAGAGGGTTCCCGGAGAAGGGCATCTGTTGCTGATCTCAAGGGGCGGGAGGGCATATATGGATGCAAGCATTCCTTTAGATATCCAGGTCCCAAGACTAGTTCTTAGTCTAAGTAAAAGGCAGCTTCTTACAGCCCTGGTCATTTCCAGTGACTCCGTGAAGGGTACTGTTGCCTGGTGGGAGGACCCAGTGGCTTGCTGGGTCTAGAAGATGAGAAATTCAGGGACCTGCCTAAAACGGAGCTGAAAGAGTCTAATCATGGGATTTGGGAAGCCTGCAGATCATGGCTCCCTTCAGCCATGTATTCTCCCTTAGGGTTGCCTTTGTTTTGACCTTCTGTCCAGGCTGTTTTGCTTACCATCGTAGTGTCTTCCTTTAATGCTCTCGGGTGCCTCATAGATGTGATTGCGGTGGTGGTGGTGGTGGTGGTGGTGGTGATGAGGATGATTTCATTGCCTGACACCCTGCCCTCTCCCCAAAGCACGGTTCAGGGCAAATTCATGGATGCTGTTGGCATGCCTTTCTGCACGGCAAGCATTTTTCTGGTGCTTGCCAAATTCTAACCCGACATGCTGTGTTTATACAGCCATGGACTGTCCTGTGCTAAAAGGAACGGGGTCCTTGGCCTTTGTCGGCGTGATTTTCTTTCATGAACTGGCTGGCAGGGGGTTTACTTTGTTGGCTTGCCTGCTGTCCTTTTTAATTATCACTTCTTAACGTGCTGGGAAGTGTCCAATTGCAGATTGCCAGACTTAAAGGAGCAGGGTTGTGCTACCCTGCAAGAGCATGTCTCCCCGCGGGTGCACACGCTTAATGAAAACACTGGTTAAAAGGGTTCTCCACTGGGCACGTTTTATGCTGTGCATAATGGATCAAGGCAGCAGAATATTTTCGTGCTACGCTTGGGTATACTTGGACTCTGAACTTATTCCTTATAAGGCAGGGAGGTAGTCCTTCTAGGGTCTCAGCCTCATCCCCTGGGGTTCACCCCACCCCTTTGCTAGCAACCACCCACCATTTGATGCTTTTCCAGCTTTTTTCCCGCTTCTGAAATGCTGGAATGCCTCTCCCGAGGCTTGGTTAATGGCAGCAACAGCTTCCAGCGAAAACATATGCCCTCGACCCTTTTGCCTGCAGCCGCAGTCTCTGCTGGAATCCATTCCCCACGAGCTCTTCCAAAACTTAATTCAGTCCTTGGGTGGAGAGAGGTCTGACTCCTATTGTAGACCAGCCTTTCTCAATCTCTAGGCTATGCTGACCCAGGATAACGAAGGTGATAGTTCAACAGGTTTGGGTAGACAGTACTCACTTGGATTGTCTTCTGTAGGAAGCAGCCTCCTGGGACCTTCCCAGCCCTACTTAGAAGAAATCTGGGGATGGAACTTGGGACCTTTTGCATGGAAAGCAACGTCCTCCTGCTGGCATGGTCACAAGCTTCTGTACTGGATGGGGAGCAGGCTGCTTCCAGGAGAGATGGGGTTATTTATGTCTGTGGAGGAGATCCTCTTTGCTCCCATGGTAGGAGGGTTTTTCCTACAGAATCAGGCTGGCGCGAAGGTTGGCACACGTGCCTGGCCACCACACACAACTCTCCTTCAGAAGCTGCAGGCCAGTAAGAGACACGCATCCCTGGACAGCTCTAAAGGGAAGGTCATTCTCTCTGCCTTTCTCCTCAGTTTGAAATTGAAATTCAAAGGATTTCTGAAGCTTATGAAGACTTGGTAAAGACCACCATCAAAAGAGAGTCATTGGACAAGGCAATGAGAAACAAACTGGAAGGTGAAATCCGGAGGCTTCATGATTTCAACAGGGATCTACGCGGTATGTCCTTTCCACAAAGGTCTTTTAATGTTTTCATTCCTTTTATATTCGGCTTTTTAAATTGTTGAATTCTGGATGGCCACATCAAAGCACGAACAAACTGGCTTCCATCATGACTTCTGGAAAGTTATTTAAGTTGGCCGTGGAAAGGATTTTCCAGGTCTAGTTGAACATTTGGACTTAACTGCCCTACTTTCTGTGGAACATGGTGCCCCCGGATTGATTAATTAATTAATTAATTGCTTTAATGGACCATTCAACAGCCACACATGGCTCCCAGAATGGTTTACAAAAAAAGCAGTTCTAAAAAAAGATGTTCATAATTACAATCTGCAACATCTTATAACAATTAACAACGGAAAAGCAATAAAATAAGCCGAATTACAAATGGGCATTTTAAGTAAATCTAAAAATCTCTCAGCTGCCCATTCCTTCTCTTCATATTAAGGGTGACTACATAATCAATCAAGGGACAATGCAGTTCTCTGGGAATGGTGGGCTAGGCAATGATGGCTCCTGAACCTTCCAAAATTGCCCACCCAAGTTAAAGGATCTCTTGGAATGTGCGCTTGGGAAGGATCCCTCCTTGCCTGGAGAGCCAGTGCGGTGCAGTGGTTAAGAGTGGTTAAGGACTGGGACTCAGGAGATCTGGGTTCTGTCTGTCTGTCTGTCTGTCTGTCTGTCTGTCTATCTATCTATCTATCTATCTATCTATCTATCTAAACAACTTATATGCCGCCCCATCGCATGAGCCTCGGGGCGGCTTACAATCATTAAAATCCCATATAAAATACAAAAAATTCATCAAATAAATAAAATACAAAAAATAAAATAGTGGATCCAGCCTGGTCAATTTAAACCAACAAATAAACCATTAACAGTTAAAATAGCGTTTAAATAAAAAGGTCTTGGCCTGGGTGACTTCGGGGCCAGTGGCAGATCCTCAGCCCGACCTGCTTCTCAGGGTTGTTGTTGTGAGGATAAGATTGAGAGGAGGAGGAGGAGAATTATGTAAGCCACCCTGAGTTCGTTGAAAGGAAAAGACCTGGGATATAAAGATAATAAATAAGATCTTGGGAGGCAGCCGACAGTCAAAGCAGATAATGCCAGGAACTAGTTGGCCCCCCGTTGTAGCTCTCGTCGGTCTCTTGCTCTCCTTCCTTCTGAAAGAGCATAAAGTATCTTTTGGTGGGATCTAGTGGGAAGGAGCCTCTTCTTTCGCAGTGGCAGCAATGGCAGCCTCTCCAGCATGAAGGAGGTGAGGAAGAACAGAACATAGGAGGCGCGCTGCTGGATCAGACCGAGGTCCAGCACTCGGAATAAATAGTGGCAGACCAGCTGCCCGCAGGAACCCCAGAAACGAGCAACGGCAGCTTCCCACACATGTTCTTGAGCAACTGGTAGATGTAGGCATACCCCACCCCCCGATGTGGGAGGCAGCAGACCGCTTTAGTACCCGTGGATAGTGTTCTCCTTGGTGAATTCGTCTGGTCCCCTTTTTAAAGCTGTCCAAAATGCTGAGCATCCTGTGAAAGTGAATTCCAGTTTCACTGAGTGCTCTGTGAAGAAGTCCTTCCTTTTTTGTTTCCTGGACTACTTACCAATCAGCTTCAGGGATGATCCCAGGAATTATGAGAGAGGGAGGGGAAAAATCATGCACAATTTTGTACACCTCTGTTCTGCCTCCCAGCACATGCCATTTTTTAATAATAAGATATAATCCAGATGAGCCTGGGAGCTCTTTGAGACAGAACCCAGGATGCATTAGATGCTTTACTTTGCTTAGGATGGTGAAGAACTATGACCCTGCGGGATCAGTCTCTGGGATCTCCTGCTTAAAGGACCCAGGAGGTGATGGCAGAGAGTGGGTCAAAACCCTTGGAAGCCAGAGTGGACTATATGGATGAATAATCTCACCTCATCTGAGGCATCTTTCTGTGTTCCTAATCCACAGCAGTGTGCACAGAATGTGCATCATTCATCCAGTTCCGTATCACAGGTTGGAGTTCTCGGGAGACAGGTGCTGTACGGTTTGGCCAGCTACAGCGCCACCTGTTGGTCGCACCCTTGCTCCACATGGCTGCAGCGGCCTTTTGTTTGGCTTTTCTTCATTCCAACAGCCAGGGGATTTCCCCATTTTGCCTGCAGTGCCTTTGCCCCCGAAAATCTGCTCTGAAGAACAGGGAACTTTCCAGATCAATAGGGCAGGAGCTGTAGAGCGAGGAGGGAACTGATCAATATGGCCTTCCATTTCCATTCTGTCAGCAAAGCCCTCCGTGGGAACTTAGTCCCATCAGTAAACCCAAGGGCATCTTCTGTTCCTGGATGCCTACCTCAGATCCAAACCAATATTTATAGAACAGCCTCCCCCACCCCCCGAAATGCCAGTAAGCCATTCTGGTGCTTCCTGTTTTAGTTAATTAATGTTGTTATTACATTTATTTCCCATATTTTATTTCTTGCAAGGAACCCAAGGTGGCTTACAGGCTGAGGGCCCTCTTAATCTTTATCTTCACAACAACAAGGTAAATTGGACTAAGAGTCCGTAATCAACCCACTGAGCTTCATGGCCAAGTGGGGACTGGAACCCAAATCTCCCAAGGCCCAGCCTCACACTCAGATCACCGCACCACAAACGCTCCACTGTGTTGTTGTCGTTCTTTCCTGCTTCGTTCTGAATCTTTTCTGAGATCCCTTTTATAGCCTATCTGTTGGCCTGCTTCTTGTTTTCTGAGGTTCGTCTCCAGTTTCATACACAGATTTTTTTTTGTCTTAAAACATTTCCTTTTTCTGTGCAGAACGGTTGGAGACGGCCACGAGGCAGCTAGCCAGCAGAGAGTTTGATGGGCACGAAGATAAGATAACAGAGGGTCTTTATGCCTCTCAGAGTGAGTACTGCTTAATACACACTGAGGATATCTATGTTGGATGTGCGTGTGGGTTTTGTTTCATTTCTCAAGTGTTTTCACAACTGAAAGCCGGTTTCTTTCTGCAAAGTTCTTTTACTATATGCCGGAGCTGTTTCGTTGACATTAGTGACGGGTGGAAAGGGGAACACTTTGAATAAATAATTTGATGACAGGGACAAGTCTTAGGAGAAAAGTACCTCCTGGGAGATAACATTCTTTGGGTAATTTTGCACTGGTACGCAGAAGGCAAGGGCAGCTCCTTATGTCAGAGTTTGGGCTGGTGAATGGCAGAATTTGGAATTCCCCCACAAAGAAGCTAAAATAAAGCGTATTGGCTATTTTGTAGCCTACCAATGGGACATATAAGTGGGAGAGAGGGTTCATTAGCTCCAAAAGAATGCAGGGGCCCTCTTTCATTTGTTTCTGGCATTCCTACTTTTCAGAGGTATACTGCTATTATCCATGGACGATCCATTTAGCAACATTGGTTAATATTTATTGTTAGACTTTTCCTTCATGGATTTATAATACTTACAGGACCCACCTGTAAGTGGGTCAGAGGAGGCAAAGCATTTAGCAGCATATTTAGAGTATACTCTTATGCATGACAAAACAAAACAAATCCTTCAGCTCTCAGTATTCCAAATGCTGGGGTCTGTAACACTTTTTTGTGTCTAAACATGCATAAGATTGTGCTCTTAATCTGGCATAAGATTTTGTGGATTATAGATTTGCATCTGACAAAGTCTACTGTCACCCATGAAAACTTATGCCATAAACCAGGGTTCCCCAGTTAGTGCCTACAGGCTTTTCCAGTGACAACCAAGAAAGCATTCCCAAAGTACTATTTCATTTTTAAATCCCATTTTCAGTATACATATATGGATTGGTATATATCCTCAGCAATGGATAATAGGAAATACATACCATTTTTAAGCAATTCTGCATAGGTTTCAGCAGAAGCAGACCAAATATCCAAGTGGCTATCCATTTGAAGGTAACATCTCTGTGCCATCTGCTCAAATATTGGAAGCAAATTACAATATTTACAAATATATTACAAATATTTGAATGGTAAGGTCCTCCATTCATTGCATGGTGAGGTGAGTGTTTATCCTTCCAATGTTATCCTTCTAGCTATCCAGAGGGCAGAGAAAACCAATTTGCACAGACTGTGTGCTAATGTCTATGAAACAGGTCAATCATTTAAAATAAAGTTTATTTCAGTAAATATTAAAGACTCATCCAGTGCAGAAATTAGCTGTATAATAATTTTCTCCCAAACAGAAGCAGCAACTGGACGTTGCCAAAACTTACATTTAAAAAAAGCGTTTGCTGTTTTGCACTGCCAGCTGTTAGGCAGTGCAATCGCTTATTCAAAAGGCTGGGTAGTGTCCCATAGACCCAAAACAAACATTTTTTCCCGGATAAGACACAGCCTAAGATCCACCGACATGACAGGTTGACCCCAAAGCAGTGGTTCACTGATTTGGCATTTCATGGCGGTGCCTGCAGCAGTTTGTCAAATTGCCAGATGTGTCCATGGGTCCAAGAACCAGAACCCTAATCATTGTCTTCAAGCAGTCTCAAGACGCTTTGTCGGCTTTTGATTTAAAATAGTGGCACATCCCTACATTATGTAGCCATAAGCTTCATGATTCTGTGGAGGAGTATATTCTCTGGTCCACGCAAACCAAGTCTGGTGAATGTTACGGTCCCTTTCTATGCAGTCACCCAGTCCGAACGGAAAGTGTCATTAGCCTGGATATTATTATTATTATTATTATTATTATTATTATTATTATTATTATTATAACGTTTCTATGCCGCCCCTTGCCGAAGCCTTGGGGCGGCTTACAACACAATAAAATACAATACAATATAAAAATAACAATATAAAATTAAAATTAATAATATAAAATAAATAAAAATATAAATGATATAAAAGAAGTTATAAAAGAAAAGTTATAAAAGAAAAGAAAAGAAGTCGCCCTGGCTAGATAAATAAGTAAATATTGTTATCAATTAAAATGACATTTAAACATGGCTTGGTGGGGGCTCTCAAGTTCTACAGATTTGGTGTAGAACACCCCAAGTTCAGTCCTGGTTCATGCCACAGGAAGCAGCTCAGGTTGCAAAGCCAGGAAGGGTCCCTGCAGGTCTGGGGACTGAATGGACTGGAGGGTGAGATTACAGTGGTCTTAACTAAGTAGAAGGCAGTTCTTTCTAGAACTCAGGTTGGATCCAGCTCTTGGGTGCAGCAATACTGTGCAAGTTTAGACAGAAGAAAAGGCCTGCAGCTGTCAGCATGCTAGAACTTATAAGCCTTTTTGTCCTGCCCAAACACGTGTAGGATTGCACCTTTGTCGTACTTAAAGTAGACCCATTGAAACTAATGGGAAAGATTACAACCAACTTCAGTTGCTTTGGTTTCCATGGATCTGTTCTGAGTAACCCTGCCCCAACCCTGGAAGGATGGGCCACCCTGATGCTGCCCAGACATGTCAGACTACAAGGTGCGTTGCCTGCCACTGGCCATGTTGGATGTGGATGGTGGATGCTGTAGTCTACTCAAATTGAAGGGCTGCCGGACTGTAGAAGACTATTCCAGGGGGCTGATCTACACAGCTGGTGCCAGGATCAGGGTGACTCTGTTAGAGTACGGATGAGGAAGCCCCTTCAATGTGAGGGCCAAATTTGATGTTGGGGAAGCTCCTGCAGGCTGCGTCCTAGTGGAAGCAAAAAGTGGGAAGACTGAAGACTTGAAGGAGCAGGACCAAAATACCAGCACATTTCAATGCACAACTGTTACTCCCAGTAACTTAAGTTCATTTCAGTCTTTTTTGGATGCTGTGTGTGTTGGGAGCTTTATAAGCTAGGAAGCTTGCAAATGATTGGTTGTTGGGGGACAGGTGTGGGAGCCTTCCCAGGTTCTGGCAACCCCAGTGAGCCATATGTGGCCCATGGGCCCAAACTTCTGCACTGCTGCCCCATAGTGGAAGCCCCATACCAAGCTCCCTGTGGATTGAGCCTTCAGTGGTGTATCCCACATTGAATGAGAGAGTCTGTGACAAACCACCCTCGACCTCTCACCTTGGGCTGATAGAGCAGCTGCGGTGTTCATTACCTGCCATTTGTTTCACATCTGATCACAGGGAAAAAGCCTTCTGGGGAAAAAGCTTCTGTTTACACAATGCTGGAAGTATGGATTGAACCTGCTTCTGCTGCTTTCAGTCTGGTGGCAGCTCTCAGTCCACGACCCAGGAGCAAATATAGTTCCCAGAGGCAGGGTCATATAAAACGGCAGGGATGCCTGGTATGCAGCGTCCCTTTTAGGCTCAACAGCTAAAAGCTACAAATAGAGACAAAGCATTTCCAAGAATAGAAGAAGGGTTATACAGGACCTCCATGAACAGGTTGCCTTTATTTATCCTCCCATACCAGTGCCCAGGACTTAGTATGTTCCATGGAGGCAGCAACCTGGAGGTGGGAGTAAACTTGAGGGTCTTGGAGTTGGCAGAGTTTCTCTTGGGCAGCAGCATCTTGTGCATGGCCACACCGCCTCAAAAACCTCCTTCCACCAACCAGCAGGGAGGGACGGGCATCGCACCAGCAGTCCCCATCTCGCCAGCGTGTGGCTACGTTTCGCGAGGCTGCTGCCGGTGACCCAGCTCAGCCCTTTGCCTGCATCCCAAAAGGCAGCAGTGGCTACCTGGGATAGATTCCGTGCCAGGAAGGCTACGCCACCTCAGTTTTCTGCATGATGCACACAGGTGATACGCATGCCCCTTGTCTTCACCTGTTGCTGCTTTCAGGAGGGTTCTTTAGAAAGGGATTGCAGAACCCCAGATCAAGCCCACCAGTCTGGCCAGTGGTCCAAATAGCCACGGCACCTTTTCCCCGGTCACTTGCACTTCCCAAGCTTTTGTACATTTTTCCCCTCTCTGAGATGCCGAACAGCCTTTTCTAAGGTTTACTTACATCGTGGCAGTAAGCATCCCAGGCTAAAATATGCTGGCATTCCTTTGGCCTTTCGCCCCACCCACAGCGCTCTGTGGCCCTCAGGAGCTTCTCTGCAGTGGAATCTGGGGCAGCAAAGCCTGGCTTTAATTAGGTTGGGCTTTGCACGGAATGCCAGGCAAGCATCCAGTTCCCAGGCTGCATCGCTTAAGCAGTTCTCTTATCTGGGGACGTTTTTGCCTTGTAGCGACCTTCCTCAACCTGGTGCCCTCCACAAATCCCATCACGCCTGAGGATGGGCATTGTAATCTGACGTGTCTGGAGGATACCAGGTTGCAGACAGCTGCAACAGAGAACAGCATTTTTTTAAAAGCATGTTCAGATGTGTGATTACGTGCTGCGCCAGACGGAAGTGTGGCTGCTGAATTTGGTGCAGTGGCAACCTATGCAAACCATTCCTATAGAGAAAGGGGCAGTAGCAGGGAAGGAAGCTTTTGCTGAATCCATCCTGCCTGTGATTCATGGATTATCAGGAGGCTTTCATTCTGTTTTTTGCTCACCGGCAGAATTCCTTTTTTCTTTTTTTGCCGAAATTGTGCATCAGTGCCCCCAATGCTGGGTAGTGGGGGCGTTCACTTTGTCAGGCTGAGAGGCCTCCAGTTAAAAGTCTCCCACCGAATGAGCAGGCAGAGGCAAACGTTGCCCCCCACACGGCTCATGTCAGGGCATGAGAGCTATGCGGGAACGTTTGGCAACAGCTGAAGGTATGCGGATTCTTGAGCACTGAGATGACTCGCACTGTGAATGGCCAGGGCTAAATAAAGCACCGCAACCGCTGGAAAAAGGATGTTAGTACTAGCCAGGCATTTGTAGAATGAACAGCTGGCATAAGAGAGCCCTGAACTACACCACCGGTTTGTAAAGGTTAAGTGCTGGCTTGCTTGTGCAGGAAGATTATAAGAACTAAACCAGAAAGATCCAGGCTCAGCAATCCCTCTCCCTCCTGCTTGCTCGGTGACCATGGGGAGGTCACTGTTTCTTCACATCTTTGCAAGTTTGCTGTGATGCTAAAAGAAGGGAGGGGACGAGGCACACAATGCTGGACTCCTGCGGGGAGAGTCAAGGTTAAGTATATAAATTAGGGCACAATCCTGTGTGTATTCAGACAGAAAGATGCCCCAGCCAACTAGGGAATGCTGGAAGTTGTAGGACTGTTTCTGTCTAAACTTGCCTAAGATTGCATCTTAACTAAATGTGCATAGGATTGTGCCTTTAATTAGCTTTTTGTAAAGATGATTCCCAAGAGTGGCTCTGCCAGGTTTGGGCAAAAAGCTGCCTGGCCCCTCTGCCCTGTGCACTCTAGTTCTGTTGCCCTCCTTTCTTTCCTCTTCCCCACAATGCTCTGCTGTTTTCCTCCTCTCTCCTGCTTGGTTGCTTCCCTGTCTTTCCCTCCTCAGGCTTATTAGATGGTGCAAGAAGAGGTCTCCCTTTAAAAGAAAAAACATCTGGGCAGGTGGGCACACCCTGCAGCAAAGCGCTTGCTGCCAAAGCACCAACCATGTTCACCAACCAGAATGCAACATGGAGCCCAGAGGCATTCTGGGAAGAAGAAGAAGATGGTGTGGAGAGGCAAGCTGGAGCCAAGTGGGGCTTTGAACCTGGGTCTCTCCAGTCCTAGCCCAATACTCTGGCTGCTGTGCTGCCCTGGTTCTCTGAACTTGTTGTGCAACTCAGAGTTTGCGATACCTTCTGACAGAGCTGATCTTAGCCCTTGCTGACCCCTCTGATTTGCAGGCAAAGAGCACTTGAAGGAGAAAGAGAAGCTGGAAATGGACCTGACAGCTATGCGCTTGACCAGTGAGGAGCAGCGACGGCACATTGAGGTCCTGGACCAGGCTCTAAACAGTGCGCAAGCCAAAGTCATCAAGCTGGAAGAAGAGGTGAGAGTGCAGTGCCCTTTAACCAGCCTCTCCGCCGCACCTCCGTCCTGGTTCATTGCTAGTGTTGAAAGCTGCAACCTGATCCTTGCCATGTGTTCTTGGAAATAACATGGCGTTTACTGGGACATACTTCCAAATATATGTAAGGTTGCTGTCTGGAGCAGCTTGTAAATATTTTCCAGCTCTTTGTCTGCGTGGTTGGCAGAAGTCATGAGAAATATGAAGTCCCTGGAATAGGAACTCCCCTTTCCAGAGCAGCCTGGCCATGGATAAACCTCCATCCTTGAGGGACCAGAGAATTTATTCAGTTCTGGATGGCAGTGGCAGCACCGGAACATAATATTAAAGGACAGGAGTTCAGAAAAGCAGCAAAGTAGGGAGGATAAAAGGAGCCTTGCCCATATTTATCATTTCTGAGAGAGAAAGAAGCACACACTTCACTTCGGTCCTGAACATACTTTCTCTGAAGTTAGTTCTATTAATTTTGGTGGAGTTAATTCTCCAGTGGGTATATGGATTTTAGTTTCCAGTGTGTTGAGATCCAGGGGCCAGGCAGCACGTGGCACTAAGTGCGACTTGGCATTCAGTTCTCAAAATGCAAAGAGCATTAGCTGGGCAGCTGATGGTGGCCGGGTTTGGCCTGCTAGCTTTCAGGATTGCAGCGACGGTGGAGGGAGGGAAATGCAACGTTTATCTGGTGCTGTGGTTGCATTTGGATTTCCTCCAAGTGCAAGCAAGAGGATCTAACGAAGGAAGAGTTTTCTTCAGGACCCCAACGGGAAAGGACAGGGTTTCATTCCATTTTGGAGAAGTCCCATGCACTGCATTCTGCTGGTGGGTGGGACCAGAATGGCACCAATGAATGCCAGGGTGGTGAGCTGGGGAGGGTGTTGGACTGGGGACCTGGGGCATCCAGGTTCTAGTTCCCAGCTATCTTTGAAGTTCACTGGGCCCAGTCACAATCAGCCTAGCTTGTTGTGAGGATAAAAATGGAGTAGAGGGGAATATGTAAGCTGCCTTGGGTTCTCTCCTCTGGATAGATAGAAATGCAATGTAGAAATGCAATGTCATCAACATCATCATCGTCATCTTAAATCCCTTTCTTCCCATAGCTAAGCCTTAAGAATTTCAGCCTTTTGGACCCCAAACTAGCCAGATTTGGTGCTGTGTCTGAAAAGAGAGAGAGAATAATATATAATAATATTTCTATATCACCCAATATCTAAATCTCTATGGAAGGCTTACAACAGTTAATACAAGAGTATTCAGGCTCTTTTGAATAGGACAGATTTGCAGCAGTCTTGGATGCTTGTCTCTCGTCCTGATCTCTGAGATCTGGAGGGAGGCGATTGTACCCAGAGGTTTACATCCACAGTGCTTTCCCCCTACTTTATTTGAGCCATGTATTTTATTTTCAGCATTTCTGTACTGCTCCACATCCAAACAGATGCCAGAGTGGTGAAGAGTATGAGATTAAGACAAATGCTTTGAAGCCAGCTTGTCCTCTGTTGCTCAAGGGGGCAGGACTAGAACAAATGAATGAAAATGACAAAGAAGCAGATGTTGCCTAAAATTAGGAGACAATTTCAGAAGGGAAGAGCTGTTGGACAGTGGAACAGGCTGGCTTGGGCTCGTCTTTGGTGCTGGTACTATTGAACCAGTGGCTGATGGTATTCTCACAGGTTGCTGTAGCAGCAGTAGGAGTATGAGTTGTTACTGTAACTTATGTACTGCGTATTTATCTAAAAATATCTCAAAGCAGTTTACAAAATCAAAAACTAAAAGATGTTAGAATAAATAAGAAAAACTCATCATTTAAAATGTTCAAAGACCCAAACTAGAGAGCCATTGGTTAGAGCACTGGCCTGGGATTCAGTCCTGTCTCCACTTGTCCAGGAAGTGCACTGGGTGACTTTAGGACAGTCATGGACTCTGAGTCTAACCTACCTTTCAGGGTTGTTGTGAATATAAAATGGAGGTCAGGAGGGAGATATGGGAGTTGCCTTGGTTTCCTTGGAGGGAAAAATGGTTGGATATAAATATAATAAATAAATCAAATTAATTACTTAACAGAAAAGGAAGAGGCCTTTTTCAGTCATTCAAGAGGGATATCAGTGTAATGAATTAATAAATGCAACACCCGGTAAGTACTAAATGAACCTGCTGGCAAACTCACTCGTTGCAATCCGCATCGCAGATCCAGGACTGAGAATGGGGGTGGACTAAATGACCTCCAGGATGCTTCCAAGGCTGACATTCTCTGGTCCTGCCCTCAGCTGCGGAAGAAGCAGGCACATGTCGAGAAGGTGGAGAAGCTTCAGCAAGCGCTGACTCAGCTCCAGGCGGCCTATGAGAAGCGAGAGCAGATGGAGCGCCGGCTGCGCACCAGGCTGGAGAGGGAGCTGGAAGCACTGCGGCTGCAGCAGGTGAGGGTCGCCCCCAGTTCAGAGCCACTTGAACCCGTGCGCTCTTGGCTCGAGTTGCTGCCCCGTGCTGGTGTACCAGTGGCAAGTTTGCACCTCCCTCTGGTGGTGCTTTGGGTCATTTTCAGCCGTTGTGATTATGTGGGAACTTATTTATTTATCAAAAGCTTTTTCTATCCTGTCCTTCACCAGGGTCTCTGGATGGAAATACAATAATAAGGCACAGCACCAACATAAACCCCATTTTAAAACAACATTCAGTCTTAAAATACTGGGAAAATAAAAAGGGTTTTGCCTGGCGCCAAAATGAATGAAGTGTTGGCGCCGGGCGCATCTCTCAGAAAAGCATGTTCCATAGCCTGGGCACCACCACAGAGAAGGCCCTTCTCCGAGTAGCCACTCTCCTGTTCTCCTTCAAAGAGGGTTCCCAAAGAATAACCTCCGACCCAGATCTTATGGGGCAGGCAGGTATATATGGAAGGAGGCGCTCCTCAGATACCCTGGTCCTAAACTTGGGTCACAGCAGGTCAGAATATTTGTTTACCGAGCGTGCTACTCAGATGGTTAGCATTTCTCCAGGTCTTGCACAGAGAGAGGTTTTCCTTGTCATCCCATTTTAACCAGAGAAGACTTCCTGCTTGTACATCAGGTGCTGGGCTGAGGTCCCTCCCTCGACAGCCTGCCCACAGGTACCGCCCTGCTTCTGTGTCTTTTGTGCTGCAGCACAGGATTGTTCGGGGAGTTACCAGAAAGAGCCCCTTTCGATCTGGGCCTCTAGCAGAAGTAGGGCAACTCCGGGAGCCTGACGCTCACTTTCCAGCCCCCAGCCTCACTTGCTGCCATCTTGCTTTTGTATGCAGTGGCACGGCAACTAACAAACCCGGAGATGTTGATCTTTTGATTTTCTTCCGCATATTGGCCCACAAAGTACCTTCATCATCTTGAACCTGTATGAAGTTGAGGAAGTCAAACCTTCCAAACTTCTCTTTTTCAGCATGGGCTTCTGGAAATTCCATTTGGCTGAAGTCTGTTTTGCAAATAGAACTGTTGGATTCCGATGGGCTGAAAATTCAGGCCCCAAGGTCACACTGGTCTCTAAAATCTTAGTAACTAAGTTTTATTCAGGGATTCTAAAGTTCCAAATTATCCAGGAGTAACTGCAATCTTTTAAAATTTTAATCTTTAAAAGAATCCATATTAGGAGTCCTCAAGGGTACTTATTATTTAAAAATCAACTTTGGAAAGCTCCTGGATTATATTTATCCACATGCCAGAAGACAGGCTCTTGAGACTAGCATTTTGTTTTGTTTTTTAAGAACTCCAACTAAATTTTACCAATTCAATTACTTGGCTCCAGAAAACAGCTCCTTTGGTTCTGTTCAACAACCTTTCTGTGAAGTGCTTAATAGGAACCTTCTAGTCAGCTGCCAAACTGGAATTTAAAAGATGCCTTAGAGATGATTTATACACTGACATGGATGCCAAGGAGCTAGTTAAAAACTCCATAATGACTTGGAAAATTACATGCTGGTGCAGCTCCATCCTTATATGTCTCTCACTTCTCTCAGAAAACAGCATGCCAAGCGAGAGCTCAAGCTCTGAAGGTGAGCTAGACAAAGAAGAGGAGGGGTTAGAATGTGTTGCTGAAACACCCAGGCTAACAAGCAACATTAGCTGAGTGGCTGGAGAGAACCAGACCTCTTCTGGTTTGTGCAGAATAAGAAGAGTTGGGAGGAGAGGTGTGAGTTCATCAGACCAGTGTTTTGTCATCAAGTCAAATGAGCATGCCAATTAAGGAATGTCCAGCATTCCTGCTATCAAACCCACAAGCAGCATGAACCTCCCTGAGGGTGGAGCCAGCCCCTTTTGGAAGTGGGGGTAGGAGGGATTCAGCTTGGAACCAACGTCTGCCATGGGCGAGAGCTAATCAGAGGGATCACTACTTTTGATAGCTGCCGCTTGTTTAACAGCTTTATTATTACTCGCTCTGTATTACAAAGCCAGCCTTGCTCAATAAAGGGCTGTTTTTAGAAGCCTTTTATCTTGATCTGTTGGAAAGGAAAGTGACATGCTCACAACATTTGCCCTAAGGAGAACGTCAGCTTCACTGATTTTTTTTCCTTCTGCAAATGGTCTTTACTATTCTGGATGGACATTATTGTGAGATACTTTAAAATCTGCAATAATGGATTGCGGAAGAAAAGATCTCTGAAAGCATTTCACACTGCGCATACATTTGGTTGTAACAGAAAACCATGGGTGTCTTCCCACATCGCCACCCTATGTTCTTCGCAGACAAGTGAAGAGAATGAACAGGGCTGGCTTGTGGTAAACCATAGTTTGTACATTTGCAGTTCTGTTTGGACATCAGCAAATTATATTTTTTCAGACCTTAATTTATCTGCAAAGACAGGCTAAGATCAAGCTGTGTTTGGGATTCCAGTTTGATGGCATTACTGATTTTTAACATCTGGCTCTCTCCTTGTTGACAGGGAGAGAGTTTGGTGGAATTTGACGATAACCTGTTGCACAATTGGGATGTCCACGCAGTCCTGGTTCCCACATGCACAGAGCACTAGAATTATGTACGGCCAAATGGCGTTACAGCCTCTCTTCACAACCTCTAATGCACCTGGGAAAGATGAGAAGGGGCAGCCTGTGAATCGTAGTTGTCCCTCCATGTTAGAAATTGAAGCATCATACTTACAGCTTGCTTGAAACTGTAGTCTGCTGGGTTCACATATAATGGCAAACTGTTTTTAAGCAGTAAGAGACTTCAGGCTAGTCTTATTTTGCTTTTCACTAGAAGCCCACAATGCACCTGCTGGATCCTGGTGCAAAATTTGGTTCCTTAGCATTAAAGGATTCTGAGCCTAGGAATTTGCTCTGAGGACCAAACTGGCTGGAGCACACAGTGCAAATTCTGCTCTAGTTAGCGTGGCCTTTCTTAATTTTCTGTGTTTCGTTGAGGAAGGAGGGAGTTATTTTCTTGTTGCTCTCAGGCAGTTGGAAATCTTTGCCAGCTGCTCCAAATCACCCGTAGATCCAGGTTGTCCTTTTGCCTTTCCTTCCTCTGGTGCAGAAAGAAGAGGGGAAGATCGGAGAGGGCACACAAGTCCACCCCTCCTGCTTGAAATTGCAGATTACATACAGCTGACCGGTCTGAATGTAGCTTTTATGTTTTATTCTCCCACAAAGCAGAATACAAGAATAGGTCTCTGCCCCAATTTATTTATCCGTTTATTAAAAGACGGATTTAATAATGTCTGTTGGCTATTCGAATTCTGGCAACCTTTCACCTTGATTGGTATGAAATGACCATGGCAGAATGATCTTGTAAATTGTACTCTGGATGCTTTCCTAGCATTGACTAAGATACAAGCCAGTTTGTTGGTATATTCCTCTATAAGGAGCATAGGATGGCATTTCTTTTGCTGCTTTACGATCCGGTTGGCTTTATTTCTTGCTGTTTGGTATTAGCTATGCTGGTTTGAAACATGTGCTTCTGTACACGCCTGCAAGCAACTTCTCTGTGTTTTGGGGACAAGCTGCTGTGCAACAAGCGTCTGGAAGGAATTTGGCTGCTCCCTGCAAAGACAGGAGTGTTGAACTGGCCTGAGAGCCAAGGCCAGTAGGGACAGCTGTCGCTCCTCTTACGGAGGTTCTCCCCCCACCCCCACCCCGCTTTACCTGCTGCACCACAATTCAGGGGCTTTCAATTTAGTACTTATATGAGGTGTGAGAGAGTTCAAAGTACAGTGGTACCTTGGCCCACGAATGTCTCAGTTCACGACCAAATCAGGTCGTGAACAAACATTTCATCCAAATTTTGACTCAGGTCGTGAACTCAGCATTGGGTGGAAACCATGATCGCGGCCGTCTCCCCCCCACCCCAAGTAGGGAGATGGCCGCGATCGTACTGGGGGCAGGGGGGTGATGGCCGAGATCACGCCCGTCTTTCCTGCACGAGCGCAACCGCGATCTCGGCCATCTTCCCACCTCCAGCGCACCTGTGCCGGTCTTTCCTCCCCCCATCATGCCCACCATCGCGCACGTCGTCGTCCCCAGCGCGCCTGTGATCACGCCTGTCTCCCCTCCCCGCCAGCGCACTGGGATGACGGGCGCGATCATGGTCATGCTGGGGGGGCAGGGAGATGGCTGCACTTGTGCTCGGGGTGTGGGGGGAGACGGCCATGGTCTTTGTTGTTCTTTGTCACTTTGCTTCACAGTTTTCTGTTTAAAAAAATAGTTACAGAACCGATTAACCTTATTTACATTGAACCTTATGGGGAAACTTAACTTGGCTCATGACCAGTTTGGGTCGCGACCAGAGTCCTGGAACGGATTAAGTTCTTGAGCCAAGGTACCACTGTACATGCCTCAATAAACTTTGCTACAGCCATTAGGTAGGTCAGTATTATTATAGCGATAAAGCAGTTGTAGGGCTGAGATGGAGGGAGAGAAATGCTTAACTTAATGCCAGTGATGGCGAACCTATGGCACGTGTGCCACAGCAGGCATGCAGAGCCCTCTCTGTTGGCACGCGAGCCAAGTCGCCCCAACATCGCCCCAGCAGCCGAGCATCGGATAACAGCGCACATAGGGGCCATGCGCATGCTCGGAAAGGAGTCGCGGTGCCAGGCGATGACGTCACAAGCTGTGACTCACTAGTCAGTGTGCTGCCAAAATATATATGTATATATATTTGCTTGCACTGGCTGTGAGTTGTTTTTTCTAAATTAAAACCTCAGTATTCAGGTTTTATTGCAGTGTTGGCACTTTGCGATAAATAAGTGGGTTTTGGGTTCTAGTTTGGGCACTCGGTCTCTAAAAGGTTCGCCATCACTGCTCTAGGGCATGATTTGGAAAGGGGTTTTTAGTGTTAACAGAGCAGCTTCTGGGATTGCTATACCTGTGAGTGAGCCCCAGGGGTCACAGGAAAATGCCCTTCTGCATGAACAGAAAAAATAATCTCTAAGCATCTGATTTTTTATTCCGCTTTGCAAGACAGAGTGTGACTTGCAAGGCCATTTATCTCCTCCTTTTAAAATATCACACTAGTAATCTAGTCTTCACCCATGTTAGCTAGATAAAGGCCATATTACTACTGTGATTTTTTTATTTCACCTTACTCATTTTTAACTTTTTTCCCCACAATTTTTCGGCATTTGCCATAAGTAAAATTCCAGTGGAACATGAGTTCGTGGCAGAGGATCTCATCACCTTGTTTTTTTGGGGATTTTGGCTGCATTCCTGTACCCCAGCCTTCCCCAACCTGGTGCCTTCCAGGTATGTTAGACTGCAGTTCCCAGCCCTGACGAGGGCATGCTGGAAGTCGGAGTACAACACTTCCGGAGAGGATCAGATGGAGAAAGTCCGCAGTATCCACTTAGCTGGCAGCAAGTTCCATTGAATTCAATGGACCTTACTTATTGCAGGACTGCCGTGGGATTGGGCCTCGTCCCTTTAGCTGGACCAGGGGCTGTGACCGAAACCGTCCTGGCTGTGAGGAGGAGGTGCAGTGTGTCTTGTCTGGCCCAGCGCCATTAATATGCTATGCACTGGGAAGGCGCTACATCTGTTTTTGTGTTTACAGATGCCCATATCCTCCAGGGGAACCAATTCTGGAACCGCTATTTAAATGCTATTCTATTTGTGTACGGCCAGGACCTCGGGAGGCCTCACTGCACAAGCCAGAAACGCTTTCCCATGTACTCCTTTTCCTCCCCTTTTAGATTATATGCCGCTGCGTCTTCTAGTTTTTGTGGAATTGGTCCTGACCTACATGCTCTAAGTGACAGCCTTGTTTGCCAGGCGTCTGGTAATGCCTCCTCAGAGAGGATTATCTCATTAAAGCTCAATTCATGTTGAAAAGTGCCTTTGCGAAAGCCGCCGCAACAGAGCGACCGCTTCCACGTGGCTTAAAATAGCACCAGAAAAGAGAATACTTAGAACATTCGCATGTAATTGGATGGGTATCTGTGCACCTTTGAAATAAGAATAAAATACATTTCTCATAGCTGGGAATACAGCAACTGAGTAATCTCTGTGCCTAGAACTTGGAAGAAAGCCAAAGACTCTTATTTCAGAGATCTCTTGATAGAATATGGGAGGGGGTGGCACTGGTGGAGAAATGAATTGATCGCTTTTGTGTGGCTAAAGGAAGAATGAAGAAAGATGACTTTGTAACAACTTGGTACCCATTCTTAATGTATTCTCCAGAAATGAATGGTGACGATGGACCCCCAGTCAATCAGCTTGATTCTGCAGATTCTAATTTGGGATACAAATGGACTCACCAGCAATGGATATAATATTCTCATTGTATTATTTATAGACGCACGAATAAGGTCGTGTGTGAGACTGTGGCTACGGCAAAGGGGGCACCCAATGTCTTCAGAATGGGACATTCTGTGCACCTTACCAGCTGGGTAAGGTGCATAGAAAGGCGTCCCATTTGATCCGCAGAGCTCTGCTTGTGAAGGAATTTCCACCTGGCTTTCAGGGTCAGCAGTACCATGAAGCAGAGTGTGGTGACTGCCATAGGAGAAGATGCTAAGGGAAGCTAAGAACCAGGGTGGCTTCATGGTTAGAGGGCCGGACTGGGACTCAGGAGATCTGGGTTCTAGGCCTCGCTCAGTCATGAAGCTCACTGGGTGACTTTGTGCCATTCCCTGACTCTCAGCCCAGCCTGCCTCCCAAAGACAAAATGGAGAGGAGAAGGAGGGTCATGTAAGTTGTCTTGGGCTCCTCACAAGATGAAAAAAGCTGGGATATAGATGTAATAAATAAGGCAGAGTGGTGAAGTGTTGAGTGACAGATCTGTGTGTGACGCACGGTTCTGCCCTGCCTAATTTAGTGGTGGTGGTTGGCCCAACAGCAGCACTGAAGTAAGAGTCAGCCACTGATCCACTTGGATTTTGCCTATGGAATGTGGGGGGGGGGGTTGCCCACCTTTTTGTCCCATACCCCAGACTGTACTGTGGGAGACAGGCTGCTTCTTTGGAGGGACCTCCAGTCTGATCCAGCACAGCTCTTTCCTTACATTTAGGAAGGACACCTTCATCCGTGTCTCTTTCTACTTTACCCCAGAGACAAGGGAATTACCAGGCCACTACCTTGCCAGAGTACAACATACCTGCCTTAATGGAGTTAGTGCGGGAGAAGGAGGAGAGGATTCTGGCTCTTGAAGCCGACATGACCAAGTGGGAGCAGAAGTACTTGGAAGAGAGCGCAATCCGACACTTTGCCATGAATGCTGCTGCGGCGACCGCAACAGAAAAGTAGGAAACTTTTGCATGTACCATCACCGTTATGGAAGTGAATTTTTGTTTATTCTAAGCGGAATATCACGAATGGTCTTCAAAGCTCAATGGTAGAGATGAGCAGTGTGACTGCACAATTGATTTAGCCTCATTTGAATGCTATCTCAGCTTAATAACATGAATTAGTGTTTATGCACACATGCAGCCCCTCCTCTGTGCAGGCTGTGATTAAAATGGGAAGTCACTGATCGAGCAACATTTCATTCAAATTAAGAAATAAGCTTTGCAACAAACCGGGATTCTAAACCATTTTTTGAAGATGGTTTAGGATCCTGGTTTATTCCTAAGCTGGTAACCATGGTTTTTCATTGCTTAGACAAAATGGGAAACTATGATTCATTTAGAGTCTTTGCCAATGCATATGGTGTCAGCTTATTAAACTATGATAATCCAATACAGGAATTTGAATTCCACAGAATTATTCTGAAGGGAAGAATAGGACGAGCCATCCCCTGCATGAAAGAAGCAGCATTTTTCAGGGGAGAAGAGTGGAAAGTCCCACATGGGTCGTTGACATTGCGGGTGAAGAATTTTGTGGAGGTCAAATGCCTGTACTGGACTATCATATTTCCAATCAGAGTAGACAGCATTGGGCATCGTGGGCAAGTGGTATGGCCTAGCGTGGGACCTAGCCTAAAGAATGGCAACTTTCTTAGGTCCCCTTGTTTGCTCAGGTCCAACGGAAGGATGATGTCTTTCTTCTGGCCTCCTCTTTGCCAGGGATCCTGCAGCCAGCAGTCACTCGCGGAACGGCAGCTACAGCGAGAGCCCCCTGGAGGTCCGCATGTGGCAGGAAGAAGAGGAGCTTTTGCAAGCTGGGCGGAAGTTTCAGGACATGGAGTACACGTAAGGCGGGGCAGCCATGACGTCCCTGCTGGAGGGATTTGTATTCGTGTCTGGACTACTGAAGCCTGTTTTTGGGTTTTGTGATATGCCAGCCCACCCATGTTTTAGGCCATTTGATAAGCCAGCCTGCCCCGACCATGTGCCTTTCAGAGGCTTTGGACTACACCTGCCAGCATGCCTGACCATCGCCCAAGCTGAGTGGGGCTGCCAGGAGTGGCCTGATTTCCTTGTCTCCCTGGCGTGCCCAGGTCTTTTCTGGATGCTCGTGGATGCACTTTTGCTTCACTTACCCTCCTAATTTGCTTCATGGAGGGTTCCCGGAGAAGGGCCTCTCCCGCTGATCTCAAGGGGTGGGCGGGCGTATATAGATGTAAGCGCTCCTTCAGGTAACCAGGACCCAAGCCGTTTAGGGCTTTATAGGTCATCACCAACACCTTGAATTGGGCCCAGACTTCAAAAGGGAAGCCAGTGAAGCTGACGGAGGACTGGAGTCATGTGAACATAACGCCCAGTCCCCGTCAGCAGCCTGGCAGCTTTATTTTGAACCAATTGAAGTATCCGGACCATCTTCAAGGGCAGCCCCACGTAGAACGCGTTACAGAAGTCAAGTCAGGAAGTCACCAACACGTGTATCACTGTCGCCAGGCAGTCGTTCTCCAGGTAGGGGTGCAGCTGATGGATCAGCCGAAGCTGAAGGAAAGCGCTCCTCGCCACTGCTGTCACCTGAGCTTCCAAAGAAAGCTCTGGGTCGAGGAGCACTCCCAAGCTGCAGACCTTGTCCCTAAGAGGGAGTGCAACCCCATTCAGGACTAGGTTCAATTCACCTTCCCCCAAAGCCCGATCCGCCAACCAACAGGACCTCCGTCTCGTCTGGATTGAGCTTCAGTTTATTGGCCCTCATCCAGCCCATTACCTCAGCCAGGCACCGGTTCAGCACAGCCACTGCCTCACCTGGATTGGTGGAAAACGAGAGGTAGAGCTGGGTATCATCAGCGTACTGATGATTCCACAGCCCGCACCTCCTGATGACCTCTCCCAGTGGTTTCATGTAGATGTTAAACAGCAAAGGGGACAAAATGGACCCCTGCGGTACTCCATGGCAGCTATGCCATGGAGTACCGCAGGGGTCCATTTTGTC